GGGCACTGTGTCGGGTACAGAGCATCACCGACGTGTCAAGAGCAAACCGTTTCGTGCAACGACGGGAAGCCCAGGTTCACCACTGAGAGGGAAGTCTCGATTGAGACGACGACCCAGGTTCCGGTGAAAGGAAAGAAGACCAAAAAATGGCCCCCAAAAACTCTTTTTGACGAAAACAGCGCCAACTGGTCAGAGAACTGGTGTTCTGGTGTCTTCGTCCCCACGAGAGCTCGACCTGCGGGCCTGATGGTGTGAAGTCCTCACCGTTCACGGCTCCACGCGAGGCGATGGTCAGTAGTGGCACCTACAGCTGCGAGGTGCTGTGAGATGATGTTCAGATGGTGACCGCAGAGATGGTGTTTTTGGGGGAGGGTCCTGTCTTCATCTTTGTCTAACATTGTAGGTTCTCCAGATATTGTGTGTTTGATGTTGATGTTGTTTGTTTCTTTGTTCTTTCCAGAGTTGATGTCTTGGGCGGTTTGGGATGGAGATCTGCCAATGTCATCAGTTCTTTGGGATCGTGCTATCATCATACACTTAGTGAAAGAAGTGAACACAAGCAGTGACATTTGCTCTGCTGTGGTGGGGGAACTGCAATCAGCCCGCACCAGGCCAGTTTTTGCCCCACCTGCGGTCCGCTGGCCGGGCAATGTGACCAGCTCTGTGGCTTCGGACTCTGTGCAGCGACTCGACAGATCCGGATCTGCTGTGTTGGGCGGATCGGTTTGCAGGGCGAAGCCATCGGAAGAAGGATGGATTTCGCCCAGTTTCAACAGTTCACTGGATCCCAGTCCTCCAACAAAGCATGACGACCTTTTTGTTGGGAGCACACGAAAATTACCTTCAAAAAAAGATTCTCTCCTCTTCATTGCTCTTTTTTCCTTTTTTCTACCGGTCTTTCTAAAGAACACACCAACGGCGACCAACACCAACGGCCACCACCGAGGTTTGTGGGGACTGTTGGCCCTCCGCGCGCTTGGCCGTGGGCCGTCCCGACCGCTGTGACGATGGCAACTCGCAGGACACCGGTGATCCGGTCAGACTTCACCGGAATTGGGTCGAAGATGGTCGAAGTGTGAAGCGCCACGTATCCACCCAACAACTAAGTGAAGGGTTCCTTTTTTCTCACTGCGTCGGTCAAACAAAAGACTTCGTTTATTGGTCAAATCGAACATATCTAGAAAAATTGCAATTGAAATAGAATAGACCTGATGAAAGTAGTCCTGCAGTTCACCACTTGACCACCTATTTTTTGATAGGGCTCGATGATATCGTCAAATGTCCGACAAGCTATGGTCGATGGTGGCAACCACCCCACAACGAGGATCATTTCTCGAAGATACTCCTTCCACAAGGCTCCGTGTTCACGTCAAAACGAAGATGTTCTTTGAACTGAACGAAGTTCGTGTTGGAACTGAACGCGAAATCGAACCACCAACGACGCGGAACTCGCTCGCTCTGTGAGGACGGCGATGGTTGCAGCAGCACCTGCGAGGTCGAAGAGGGCTGGAGCTGCACCCGAGAGGACGGAGTCAGACACGGTTCGTTTCGGGGGGAAGGTAGTAGCGAACCTTGTTACTAACAAGTGCCACGCTAGTAGTAACAAGTGCCTTACTAGTGACAAAAAGCTATTAGAATTAGACTTAAGTTAAATTAATAGCTTCTTGTTACTACTATAAGTAAGGCACTTGCTCCTAGTAGCGATGCACTTGTTCCTAGTAGCTGGTATTGTTCGGACATGTTCTGACTCTCATCACTCTCGTCACGTATCATGGACATTTCGGAGGGACCCCGCAATGTTTTTGATAAACAGGTGAGCCGTTGAAGGCTCGAGCGGCCAGCACTTGTTCATCGTTGTCTTCAATTTGTCTTTCTTATTGTTTTTCATATGTTTTGCTATTCTTTATTTCAGTCTAGAGTTTCACAACAAGCGGCTGTCGGATCTTCCAGTCCAGTCCTTCCCACGAAGGACATGTGGATGATATGTGGTCTTCCCAAGCACCGCAAGTCTAAGAAATTCAAGTCCAATCAACAAAGGCTTAGCAGTTGATCTGTGAACATGTCTTGGACGCTGTCGCTGAGTCAAATCCAACCATCCACGACAAAAAAGAATATACGTCGGTTTGTGCTCTTTGGAGCTTCTCTGGTGTCCAAACCTACCACGGTCCACAGGTGAGTCCCTAGGTCCCTGAACCGAGCTTCGTCGGTGCGCTTTGAGCTCGCTCGCAAACGGCTGCTTCGGTTCGTTGCTTCACTTCGGTCGCGAACGCAGATCGTTCCCATTATGAACACCGCCTTGAACGTGCAGACCATCATTGAGGTCGACAGGCTCGGATCCAACAGTGCAGGAACAGCGGGCTGGGATACGAAATGGGATGAGCTGGCTGAGCACACGTGCCGGGGAATGGTTGGGCGGATCTTTGGACGTAGACTTTGTTGTACTCACCAGGTTGAGCAGTTGAGAATCTTGGACCCGTCACCTTGCAAAAATATGCAACCGTTTGTGGATCTTGTAGCCTGCAAAGCATGAATTGGTTGAATCTTCAAAGAACAGGAAAACTTGCCATCACAAAGCCCTTTCCGAGATGGCCAAAGCATAGGAGATCCTACTACGCCCCATGTCTTTGGGATGTTGCGAAGCCACCGGAGCCACAAAGAAGAACCGGAACCAGAAGTCATCCAATATATGTTTAGAGTTTGATGTCAAAACCAGATGTGTTCAAACCCAATCTGCGAATGGATGAATCGATGCCCGGCTCCCACACCGGTCATCGCTCGCAGGTGTCGCCGCTGCACGGACTCTCCGGCCGGGTGGACCGACAGCCAGGGCTACACCTGCCAGGTCCGGAGCGAAACGGTCCGACGGTCGGTCCGACCACGCACCCCACGCACCGACATGAGAAGACGACGAATCGTCGTTGGGCATCTTCATCGTCGTTCCGCTGTGATTCGTTCGGATGTTGTTTTTCTATACAGCTCGGTGTTCGTTCTTCTTTTGCCCACTCGGCTCAGCTCTTCGCACCACATTCGGTCGATGGGCTTGACCTACACCAGGTTAATCCCAGGTCGGTGATCCTCACGGTCCATGTCGTTTGGCATTTCAGCCCAACCATTGCTCCGAAGACGGAAAAAAAGGGTCCAGTTCAGATGGATCCCCTCCCCCCAAACCGCTCGAGCGATGTGAACGCGACGTCCGTTGTGCAAGCGAACGTGAGAGGACTATGAGACCTTCGGTGCTTGTGACGCTGCCTCCGTGCCGACGGATCCCATCAATCTCGGGGGAAGACTAAGATCTTCCCCGGAGTATTTCCAATACGAGTTCCTCTATGATGTGAACATCACTCAAGGCAAGGGCAGAAAGGAGCCAGATGTTCATGGAGAGGGGAAACAGAGGGGCAGAGGGGTAGGCGAGGAGGGAGAAATCGAGGAGTTTAACGAAGTGGAGGTGTGGGTGAGTTGTGACGAAGTGTGGGAACAGCCATCTTGGGATCGTGGCTGGAAGTCGAGGTTGGGATGGTTCTTTTTGCACAAAGCCTTGTCTTTCTGTTGAGAGAAGTGACGCTTGGTTTCATGGTGGACTTGAACTTCAGGTCTTTCGACAAAGCTTGAAGTGATTTTCTTCTTCTCTTGGAGCCTATGAACCAATATGAACCAGAGTGTGACATCCGTGTCCTTCAGTGAAACGTCAGTCCGCCACCCGAAGCACCCGACACTGTAAAAAGCCAACAGGCCAGTTCAAAGTTTCCTCTCTTGCATGCAC